CTGCATAGGTGCATGGCCCATGATGGAAGGAGCGAAAGGGGTGAGAGACAGGCAGAGCACCGACTAGACACCTTGCAACAGAACCCAGAAAGGTAGCGGACAAAAGCACCCTTTATTGACCGACGTAGATGGATACAATTTCATATAACGGAAGACGATGGGTGCCTGCCAGGAAACGAAACTACACACGGATGCCGAGCCGGAGGAGGCCATCATGTACATGCCTTGCGTCGGCCCGCGGTGAGGGAAACATAATTTGGGCCAACTGTGCATGGGTGGGGCGGGTGGTTAGCGGTTAGCATTGTGCGGAAAGGACTATACTGCTCCTTTAGCGCGCGCAGCGTGACATAGCTCGATTGCATTGTTAAGTTTTACGTGCATTGCTCCCGCATCCTGTGAGGAAGATGAGTCCAACAATGTCAACCAGAAGTTATCTGTGAGTTGTCACAGGCCGTCTAGATCTAGCACAGCCAGTACCAGGGCAAAAAGAGGGCCACTGAGACACACTGCAGCAGAACTTGTGGCCAGTGAACTCTTCTCTGGGCCCAGAAGGTCGGCGGTGCTGTTTCATCTGAGCTCGGAACAGATCCTGGGCCCATATTGGTCGTTGGCGCGACTTGTGTGCTTCTACAGTGGCATGGCTTTTGTCTAGAGATGGTGCAGGCTCCATGCCTACAGATCGTGTATTCATTCATTGGGACGTGCAATGTAGGGGCCTAGTTGATTACACTTACTTTTTGGGGGGCTCCTTATTATAATTATAGCATAATATACCCCGAAACCCTATTCTAATTATTAAGGGCCCTACAATAGCTTAGTTCATTTTCAATCCTGGTAGAGTCTCAGAGAGGTCGTTTCTTTCGTCGGTGGGCACTTTTTAAGACAGCATGTGGGTAGTTGTTCATTTCAGGGGGCTTATCGTCTCCTGAGAAGATGCATGTGACACATGTGGGAGGATCGACTAGTTGCTCTTTTTTCTGAGTATCCTTCAACTGTACTTAAGTTTCAGGCCCTCGATTCCTGGAAGTGTAAGCCCTAACGGACTATTACGAGCAGTAGTCAGACGGGTAGCATTATGGCTACCACAGGATACTAGCTGCTTTAACTCATAGTCAGAAGCTTCGCAGCCAATGACTCATCCTGTGTTTGCTTGTGTTTTACACTCATCAAAGACCGAGTTGTGATCTCTAACCCAGAGAGAGAGAGAGAGAGAGAGAGAGAGAGAGAGAAAGAAAGAACGAAAGAAAGAAAGCAAGAAAGAAAGACAGAAAGAAATAAATAAAGAAAGAAAGAAAGACATAACAGAAAGCAAGAAAGCAAGACAGAAAGAAATAAGGAAAGAAAGAGAGAGCTGCCCCACCCCAGCCCTGGCGAAAGAATGAGACAGAAAGCAGCAACAGACCGAGGACCTCTTGGGCGACTCGTTGGAGCCCACGAAGATGCTTGGATGGCTTTGAGAGTTTCTGATACCTGAACTGTACATAATTATTTATAAATATATATACATATATAATTATATAATTATTTATATATATATATATATAGTTATATATATATATAGATTGATATTGATTGAATCATGAGCTCTGCTCATGATCAATAAAACGGTTGTCCATAGGCCTTTGCATCGTCTTCACCTGATTTTTTGTTGTGGCTCTTTACGGGCTTTGGTTATTGCAGGGGGCCTTCCAATTTCGGGAGAAGGGCGGGGGTGTAAGCCTTGGTATATCGGGTGGGCATCAGGGCTGCAAGGGTGTGAGGTTTGCAAAGGTTACAGGCTGTAATCAGTGGCTGTTGTGGCTGGGCGATCCATGGATCCCTTTAGCCGAGTTGATTGATCCCTGATCGGTCTTCTCTGGTCCTCCTTTGTGTGCAAAATGTGCAGTCCGCATGGGTCACGGCGCCAAAAAGACAGTATCGCAGCACCGATCTGAGTAACTTTGCCCGAAGTTCCGACCTGCAACCGCCCTCTTCTTCCAGGAGTGGACATGGTTTGAAAGAGTCGAAGGACGCCCACGAGGAGCAGAGCTAGTCTGCCGGAAGGGAGGGCAGGTATGCAGGGGTTTTGGGCTTGTGAATCTTAGGGTTTAGAGCTTAAGGTGAGTTGAATCATACTTTACTGGCCTGAGAAGCAGGAGAAGCTAGAGTCAGCATTGGTGCGCTGAGGTCACAAGTCAAGTAAGTGCGTGCTCATATCGACATCCGCACTGCCTTGATGCAGGAGCACGCTGACGGGTATGTGCGGGCCCTGGCACTCGAAGTCGTAGTCCCATGCCACCTAGGGGCTCGAAAAGTAAAGTGATTTTGCTATTCATTCGCGTTCCTGGCACTTGCACATACCCCAGCCGGACTTACACCGTGATTGACAGCTTCAGTCAGGTTTCAGGACACCAGGCAAGAAAGGAAATGGCTGTGGGCGACACCCTGTTTAATTGGCTGTATCCATTATCGACCGATCAATGCATCTTATCTTTCCATCCCTGTCCATCCATCTAAGCGGGCTTGGGGCCGGGGTGAGCGACAGTGGCAGCTGGATGGATGGTAGCTCAGCAATGCTACAGTGCAACCCTGCCTGGTAGCTCTAAGCCCTAAGCCCTCATGTTGTATGTGTGATGCAAAGACAATGAAGTGGTGACTGTTCCGAGAAGCACTGCTGTCCATCGATGATCACGGCAGGGGCTACAAGAGGGCGAGAGATGCAACAGACATGAAGTGGCCGAATCCTTCAGGACGTGATGCTACAAGCTCCCCAGAAAAGTCCTCCGCATCGATCCCGGCCTGCATGGAACAGCAAACCCAACTAGAAAAGCCCGACGGTGCAGGTCGTCATCCTCATGTTCTTCGGCTCTATCCTCCTAGGGGCCCTGGTGATGTGTCCAAGCTGTAAAGAAGGCTCAGCTGGCTTCGAGGTTTTGTTGTGTGCAGGCTGAGAGTGGCACAGTGGGGCCGCACCTGGGCAGAAAAGAAATCTCCAAGGTCCCCCAAGGCTCCAAAAATCCACGCAGCAAAAGGATCCGCTAATTACAGGACACATCCAGTTCCACCTGTAGGCCTAATTACACAGACCGAGTAAAGTCTGAAATGAATGCTCCGAAGCCTCAGACTGTAGATCTTGTTTGACTCAATCATACCCTACTAAAATAATTCTGTGCACTCCACGAGACAGCATTAATTAATTAACCGAACACCCGTCGTTGTTTTTGATGCGACCCGACAGTTTGGCTGGCTGAAAAACTTGTGAGCCTTGAGTAGGCCATGTTGATACCCCTGCGCAAGCCTAAAACCTATCCCTGCACGGGTAGGTGGCATGAAAATCCTCTAAAGCCCTCAATGCTGAGGATGGGTTTGGAGCGCGTCCTTCCGGCTTTACCTTACACAGTGGCGATGTATCTCGCATGTGCACGAGAGTTTCGCCCGACAGTTTCCGGTTTTGGTTCTTGGAGTAATCCTGGGCTTCCTGTGCATCAGGACAGCGGGCTGCGATGCAGGCTACAGCTATGATATAGATGTCTCAGCTTATGAAGCCTCTAATTAAGAGGACTTCTCGGACTGCATCCGTCGGGGAAGCGTGAGTTCACAGGTAGGAGGCGTGCCACAAGGGAGCTGGAAGTCAGCACAGATCGAGCTTCCCATTCTGTTTGAGTAGCAGGGTTAGAGCTGAGGCTTCAGAAGTTCAGAACCACATGAAGCACCTTACTTTTACCATCCTGGTAGTTTGGTGGAACCAGTTGTAGAGCCGATTCAGTGTGTTTCAATCCCCGTACCTCAAGGCCGAACCTGCTGTCAAGAGTCCTCGCAGCTCATGCTCCTGCACTGTAGTTGGAATCCGGCAGACCTGGATCCATGTCTTCTGAGATCGGAACCCGGAAGCCCACGCTGCTCACTCCGCAAGGTTCCTCTGCGGCATCGTCTTTGCTTCGTGGCACTTCTCGCGCACACCAGAGTCCCGTTTGCAGCTGAACGTCGGACTTGGACTTCAGCGACTAATGATATCTTGAGAATCCCCCCCACATTCATCTCTGTCTCTGTGTGTGTGTGTGTGTCACTGTATTTTCTAGGCTGTCGGCTTTCTTCGACTGGGTTTGCTGTGACTGCACAGCATGTGGGCCTCTGCCTCTGAGTTTGGCCTGTCGTTGTAGGCTTGTACTGAGACCTGCACCATGTTCAGTGCCGCCGCGTTTTCATTGTGTCACCTCAGCCACTCACATAAACTACTCGGCACAGTGAGATGTTGTGTGCCGACCTCTGATGCAGCATGCATACAACTCATTCAGGAATCTACCATCAGCTGGTCCAGTTGGTTTCGATCCGCGCCCTGGCCAGACAAGGCTTTCAAATTGAATGCTAGTGTAACAGAAAGACCCTGCTTTGTCCTGTGCTTTCCAACGTGGCCGTTGCCATCGGGCATGTGCTTCTAGAATCGCTCCGCAAAGCTTTTGATGGCTGTCATGGACGAGCCCAATGGCAAAAGCTACATGGAAGGTGGTTCCAGATGAGAAGCTGTGACGATGCAGTAACGTGGCTTTTGGTGGTAATGGTGATGATGGTCTACCATTGCCCAGTCCAAGCCCTGGCTTGCTAGCACCGCGCAGTTTGATGTCTCTAAATCGGAGAAGAAGAGGAACAATTCGTCTTCTGATTTGCGCGGCTCCTACTAGTAGCTGCCGAAGGGTTGCCTGCCTTGAGTCCCGCAAACCTACCCCGAGCAGTTGCATGCCGAGGTCGAGAAGTGGGACACTCGGACGCACATGGAAGCTTTGTAGGACTTGCTCCGGACTCTAAGCCCTGGTGGGCTCATCATGTACAGGGAGCTAAGCATGGTTTAGCGAAGATGTGCACCACTTTCTGCCAGCGACCACAAAGTCCTGAAGCCACAGATCCTGCTGTACATGTTCTGAAAGACCGTCTGACTTGTTGGTGTCCGCAGTCTTCATGGATCCTGCGAGTGTGCTCTGTGCACATGCATTGGTCCCCGCTCGCTGGAAGGCGTTCGGGCCTGAATGGCTGCAGGTTTAGCTGCCGAAGCCTAAACCGAAATCACGAAAACCTGAAACTTTCATGTGTGGTATCTGCCACAAAAGACAACCATAGCCGTTGCCGCAAGCCCTCAAAGAGTCGCTCCGGATCCCCCACTCCCTTCTTTCGAAACCCTAAATCCAGGAAGGGATCAATCCACACCTCCTCTTCTACAGCTTCCTTCCGCCCTTGATCTTCAGCGAGGCCCGTGTGACTTCACAAGCTTTCCGTTGGGATGTCCGGGCTTTCAAAGATAGAGAAAAATCTAAGCACACAAGAAAAGCAGTGCTGCTGGGCTCCTGCTGTTCTGGCCCTGGTGGGGGGGATTCGTTTCTTGGACATTGGACTTTTTTGAAGGCCGCTCTGGCGCGAACCCGGGTGGTTTACGAAGTTTACGGCTTGGGAATGGGTCCCCTGTGTATCTTGTGTGCCCATTCGAATCGAAACCCCCAACCCCTCCTGATTTGAGCAAAGGAGCTATTCTCAACAGCACGGCTCCTGGTTCAGGGGATGCTCATATGTAGCACTGATGCCGCTTCTGTGATACATATACGTACAGCTCGTGAAGCCAATTCAGGTCTAGGACCCCGCCCCAGATCTGTTGTGCACTGAAACCCCCTTCCTACCGGTTTCCACTATCACTGCTTGAGGCGATGAAGCTGAATGTTCGTTTGGTGCAGAAGTGCTTCGCACAGGCCTGCTCTTTGAATTGCCGTCCAGGTCTTGGTATACCGTAGTAGTTTGGGACTGTCGGGCTCATGGCTCGTCGATATTTGCTCCTCACACTGGAGATCTGATAGGATGTCGAATACTGGAATTTCTCGCGGAAGCTGCTACATGATCTGGATTCACGAACCAGACACACTTGTAAGTCTGCTTCAGGTTCAATGCAAATGTCACGCAATCAGTGATGCCCGTGGCTCCAATTTTTACTCAGATGCGTGTAGCTCTGCTTGAGTTGAAAGAACACCCTCTTCAGAATCAAGTGCCCAGGTGTTTCTTCTGGCATGCCCGGGCGTACTTCTGGGCACTGGAATGGTGGCACTCGTCGCAAGGCATGCTGATGGCCATGATGATGGTTCCAGTTGCGGTAGCGGCTATGGTGACGGTGATGTCAGAAACGCTGAGCATGAGCAAGGCGATGGTGACGACATGACGACGATGTCAGGACCATGGAAGTATATTTCGTCAATGCCGCAAGGCGGTCAGAGGTTAATGCCAAGCCTTTGTGAAAGAGAACTGTCGCCGTGGTTTTGTTTTGCCTTGGTCCGCACTCTGTCGAGTGAGTTAAAGCTCCGAGCGACCCAGTCACAGACCGAGCACAATGGCGAAAATCATGGTTAGGTACATCTTGCCTTATGGCTGGACCTGGAGCGTGTCCTTGACTTTCGGGGCAGCGCCGTGGCGAGGGTTGCCGGTTTGCCTTGACATGGTGGTTTGACTAGAGTCTTACACACGTGCTCCTTGTTGTGTGTGCGCGTCTTGCTCGGCCAAAAGCTTGTGCTAGCTTTGTGCTGGCAGAAGCAGCAATACAACAGCAAGAGTCGAAGAACAAGCAGTACGTCGTCGCAGTCGTAGTAATCGTCGTCCTCGTCGTCGCCGTCGTTTTCTTCCGCGCATGTGCAGTCGTTGTTGTAGTCTTATTGGTAGTGGTAACTCGCAGTGGTGGTGGTGGCGGTAGCAGTAGTAGCAGTAGTAGTCGCAGTCGTAGTCGTAGTCGCAGCCGTAGTCGTAGTCGTAGCAGCAGCAGCAGCAGCAGCAGCAGCGGCAGCAGCAGCAGCAGCATAAATAGTAGTAAATAGTAGTGATTAGTACGGGTTGTTGCTGTTGTTGCTGTCGTTGCTGCTGTTACTTTTGTTGTAGC